ACTAGGAGGCATTCCTCCTTCGTCTACTTAACCCTCCAGGTAAATTAAGACAGAAAAATTTTACTCTCTTTAGTTTAGAGAACCATATGCACCATCGCGACGGAGGCTGTGCACAGCATGGTAAAAAATTCAACAACATGTGACATTCAAGTCTACACCAGTTATCTTTTGCAATGAAAAATCTTCCGGGTCCTGCAAGCATACAACTAAATTTCAGTTTTAGCTTGTTTCCGCAAGCATACAACGCCGAGGACGCCCCCAGAAGAGAGCAGGGTTATTCTTATTTCGGGGTTGATTTGTTTTACCATTTTGATGACAATTTTATTTGCGAATCATTGTTGACACTTCAAAAATAGAGAAAGTTTAGAGTACAAAATGAGAATTTTGGAGTGTCAATAACAATCCCTTTTTATTTTGCAAAGAATAATTTTACAAACCAACGGTCGAGGAGTAATTTGATGAGAAAATTGGAGCAACAATTCCTGACTTTCGGCCAACTTGGAATTTTGATCTTTGAACTAAAAAATTCGTGAGCATTGGTCTCTGAATTTATTATAATGTGGAGCAATGTTCTTTTTGCTTAATTCTGCTAGATTATATATCCAAAATAAAGGGTTTAAATTGGTAAAAACGAAGTTAGCCAAAATAATCATTGCTCCACATTATAGTAAATTCAGAGATCAATAATCATGAATTTTAATTTAGGGACCAAAGCGCTAATTGAGTTAAAATCTATGGACTATTACTCTAATTTAGTTAAAGTTTATGCATCACTGCTCCAATTGTCACATCCCGGCCCGGGCCCCCACCACAACCCGGGCCCGATCCACCACCGTAGCACGATATTGTCCGCTTTGGGCTTACCATTCCCTCACGGTTTTGTTTTTGGGAACTCACACGAGAACTTCCCGATGGGTCACCCATCCTGGGAGTGCTCTTGTGCGCTACTCGCTTAACTTCAGAGTTCCTACGGAACCCGAAGCCAGTGAGCTCCCAAAAGGCCTCGTGCTAGGTAGGGATGGGAATATACATTTAAGGATCACCCCTGGGCGATGTGGGATGTCACACCAATTATCTTGTATTTTTATTCATAGAAAACCTTTTTTTTTTTTTTATATACAAAGATATAAGGAAAAATTAGTATTCGGTCTCTAGCTCCAATTGTCACATCCCGGCCCGGGCGACACCACTTCCCGGGCCCGATCCACCACCATAGCACGATATTGTCCGCTTTGGGCCCCGACCACGCCCTCACGGTTTTGTTTTTGGGAACTCACACGAGAACTTCCCGATGGGTCACCCATCCTGGGAATGCTCTCGCGCGCTACTCGCTTAACTTCGGAGTTCCCATGGAACCCGAAGCCAGTGAGCTCCCAAAAGGCCTCGTGCTAGGTAGGGATGGGAATATACATTTAAGGATCACCCCTGGGCGATGTGGGATGTCACACCAATTATCTTGTATTTTTATTCATAGAAAACCTTTTTTTTTTTTTTATATACAAAGATATAAGGAAAAATTAGTATTCGGTCTCTAATTACTAATGTTTATTGACTGAAACCTTATTAGTTTTCATAGTTTGATCGAAGTCCCTAGCATTAATGTAATAATGAATTTACATGTCAGCTACATAAATTTTTTAAATAAAAATTAATAATTGATTTAGAATTTTAACACACACACCTTTATTAAATTCCTAACTGATTTTTAATCCAAAACATCTCCAAAATAAATAGAAATTTAGCTTTTTAGCTTTTTAAAAAATGTTTTCAATTTTTTAATCTTATATACCCATTCATGTAATTTTTTCAAATTTTTACTCTTAAAATGTACCCATTCTTAAATATACCACTTTGTTATAGGTAAAATGTACCCTTTTTTTAATATAAAATCAATTCAATTTTTTTTCTAATCCATTTTAAACTTATATGGTTACATTTTTTTTTTTTTGATTTGAGAATGTATCTATGTCAAGTTTTATCGAAGAAATTTACTAAAATTATTAAACCTCATATCTAGTATTTTTTGTGTGGTTTTGAAGAATGTACCCATGTTTTGGTACAATAATTTTTTTTGTTAATTTTGATGAATGTACGCATGTTTACACACACACACACACACACAAAATAGTATAATTTATACTTTAATATTTTTAATCCCACAAATTATGGGTTTTTATTTAAAATCTCATTAACATAAACAACTATAAATTTTAATTTTTTTAATTTAAAAATATAGTAACATAAATAGAATAAATTATCACATTAATTTCAAGAACTTTGATGAAAAATTGAAAACCATCAAAGTTTCAGTCAAAGAATATTGATAGATAGGGACCGCATCCAAAATCTCCCGATTTTTTATTGAGCTAAAACACGACCTGGTACATCAAGTGTTGTAATATTCCAACCTCTTGTATTTTGACACTTTGTATCGAGCCGTGTTTCCAACACACTGAAAAATTTCCCCACCTATGGAGTAATGGAGACATTTATTTTTTTTTTTACTTTACTTATGAAAAATTATGATCTCATCATTTCTTTTTCTTCTAAATTCTACCTCTTCACTTGTACATTGTAAATGAGAGGTACGAAGTTAAATTCATGGATAACAGTTCAATATCAATTTATTTTTTATCCTAGTTAAATATATCATTGTATAAAAAAAGACAAACCGGAGCTTTGATCATTCATCCATATGGGATTAAGTGTTGGTAGAGCTTCATGATATGTTAACAACTAATATGTTTCTGCTCTACAATCTGTCTCATAATCTTAACCGATAATTTTTAGATTATCATTAAAATATTAGTTATTAAGTTATTTTGTGGCGTGAACACAAACAAGTCGTTAGCACTGTATTTTTTTTTTTTTTATACAAATGATTATCACCTTATCAAGTTACTAATTTGTCAGCAATGGAGCGTCTCTTGATAAAGTTATATTAATAAAAAAAATTTGGGGTGGATTCGAGAACCGCATTACAATACCAAACCCGACCCGATACCCATTTTCCTTCAGGTTCTCCTATTAAGATTTGGTTTAATTGTAATTGAATTGGGAATCTTGTATTTTCCTTTATTGTCTCATTGACTTGGAGTAGTCCCCAAGTCTTGTAAATTGACTAGATACTAGTTTATGCATGTAAAGTATTAAAACACGTAGGGAAGCAGTTTGTGCTCGTTTTGTGCAATATGTGATCAGATACTCTGTTGTATAATTAAAAAGTTCAATTAGCAGGTCTTCGTATTAATCTCGTTTGTTAATTATAGGTTGACCAAGCCACTCGCACTCCTCCTGGGTTCCACTCAGACTTATCTGTTAATTCCAGGTTCGTACTTCACAAGGCAACCCGGACTCATCTGTCAATTCCAAGTCCGTACTTCACAATGTTCATCTTGAGTTCGATTCCTAATACCGGTGAATTACACGATTGTGGCTGAAGAGAGGCTAAAATGTTCTATGAGTCTTCTTTGCCCCTAAAAAGAATGAGTTGTCTTGACTTCGCCACCAACAAACCGCTTTTTTCTACAAAAAATAAAAAAAATAAACTCTTCTTTTTTCTTATTTTTCTTTTAAACATAAATAATATGTTTATATATATTAAAAATAATTAAAATGCTCCGTAACAGACTCGGAGTGCAGTTTTTGTCCAGCTGTTGATGAACAAGTGGGATATCAACTGCCGTTGGATTAGATCTAGGCTCCAGCCAGCCAGTGGCTACCCTTCTTTTTTTTTTTTTTTTAGAAAAACTAATGAAAATGGCTTGAAAATTTTGAGTTTTAACGATAAAGACAAAATAAATGATAAAGTGAATACTACCAAGATTGATTTTTTAGTGTAAAAATATGATTTTTCGTTAAAATGAACAGTATCATGACCTTTTCGTTAAAGTTCTTTTTTTTTTATTGGTCGAGGAAACATATTCATTAAAACAGGAGGGAAACCTCCAAAGAAGAAACACATAAAACGGAAGGGAAAAGCACAGGGAGCTAATCCCAACCGCATAGCATGAAAGTAAAAACCCAGAAAGCTAAGGCCGGTCTTGAGATTTTATAAGCCCGAGGCGCTGCTAAAAAATATGCCCTAACTTCATGCAAGAAATTTATTTGTTTTTACAATTTTAATAAAAGATATTTAGAAAAGCACTTCAATTTAGCAATTTAGAAATACGGAAAAACTAATTTATTTTGTATCGGCAAAAGGGAACAAAAAAACCCTAGATTTACAAGTAGATAGATGATGAGTTTTGTTTTCCTTTTTATCTGAGCTTTGAAAGTGTTTAAAAACTGTAACCCACATACTACTACATAGTAATTAAAAAGAAATTAATAACCAAACAGAAATTCATAAAAATTGAAACGAATAAACATGCACATAGCATTTCTAACTCAAGACCTCTAGTTAATTTTAAATAACAAAAAACCATTGCTTATGATTAAACTTTTTGATCATTTAGCCAAATTTCATAAATTTAAACTCTTATAATTTCGAAACCAAGACCTTCTTGTTAATTTTAAACAATATAAGCCACCACTTATGGTCAATTTTTTTATCATTTGGCCAAATTTTATAAATTTATACTCTTAAGAAAAGAAAGGGAAATTTTATTTGAACCCATATAACCTTTTTCTAAACCCAATTTAAATTTTAAATGTGCAATGTCTTTATTAACCCATTGCATAATTACCATCAAGTACATGATGAAATTATTAATAAAAAATATATTTCTTAATAAACCCACATCCAATAATCAAACCCTAATCATCACGTAATTTTTCTGTTACATTCTATTGTGACAAAAACTCAATAAATTGGCTTATATCTCTTTAATTTAATTAACACTTTGTTCTCTAGATGAGTTTTGCGATTAGACCCTCAGTAATGATTTTAAACCAAGTACAGTATAATTACATGCTTTTAATTAACTAACGAGGTTAAAATTTTGTGTGGGCAATTCCTTGATTAGTTAAAAATTACATGATATCGAAGTTTTTTTTTCTTTTTGGTTGAACTTAATGTGGTGTTCACAAACTCATAATGTTATAAGAAAATGTGGTTCTTCAATTTACATTCGTGTACTTGTTTCATCATTTTTTAATACTTCTTTCTTTGACATCACAATAGTTCGTGTTTCTTCGTCTTGCTAATCTTTCAAGTTTCTCTTGAACCGTAATTTTCTTCACCGGTAAGAATTATGCAAATTAATGTTATACATACATCAATCTTCCGAATCTGAATGTGGTCTACATATAACTCTTATAAAATCCATGCAGACTAATAAATAAAAAAGATATTAAAAAAATCTTTAAGTTCATTAGTGTTGTTTTTGCAGCCTACCAAGTACGTTACAACAGTTGGATAAAACTCAAACTCAATGAGGCTTTTCTGTACAAACATGATGAACTCTTAACTCAAATATATGCACACACTACCAAGTAAGTTGGAGAAGCCACAATAAATGCAAGAGGGTAGTTTAGAGGGGACATCTTGTTTGACATGGTCATGCAAAGCAACCTAAGATTTATCGAGGGCAACACTATAGAGGGTGACAGAGACTCCATCGAAAGCAATTGTTGGAAGGAGAGAATGTTTTGATTTTGGTTTTTTATTTTTCAAATTGGTGTTAAGATAAATTTACATATTGAATTGGGTTTGTGAGGATAGTTTAGGTAGTAAATTTGGGTTTAAAGAGATATTGATAATTTAATAAAAAATTATGTGGGTGTAAAGAGTAAGTTAGGTGTAAAAAAATGTTAGATGAGTTCAAATAAAATTTCTCAAAAGAAATTTGTAAAGTAAATAAACACTCATGATGTTTTGAACCCATGACCTCTCATTAATTTCAAACAACAAAAACCGTTAATTCTAGTTAAATTTCTTTGTTAATTTTCCAAATTTTAAATATTTATCCTTTTATGAAAATATATATGAGCATACCACCATAATAATTTTGGTGCCCCAATTTTTTTGAGCCCCTAACAATCGCCAGCCGGCACTGGGCCTGGGCCGGCCCTGAGTAAAACGTAATGATTATAGGGGAAGGGGACCAAGGAAAACAAACACAGAACTAAGGGGATCCCCTGCCTATAACCATTATAAACACCTAATGTGGACATGGCAGACCATCTAATGATAGGATATAAACTAGAGTGGATAGGGGTCTGGTCACCCAGACTTCCAGGCACATTCCTATTTTAAAATGCGATGCAACTCAGTCGGCCACGGAATTCGCTTGGCGGGGGATCGAGGTCCACTTGCAGGACTGGAAACGATGAGAGAGATTCCTGATTTAGGCCCAAATAGGAAAAATCGTCAAGGGAGCAGAAATACGAGGCCCGTTAATACTCTAAATAAGCTCGGCAGAATCAGACCCAAAGATTACCTTGGTATACTTTTTTGAAATTGCCGTTGATACTGCCAAAGCCGCAGCACGAGCCTCCACTTCCCAGAGGGGAAGCAACCATCCCGCGGGTGCCATGCCCACCCACAACGGTACCCATATGATCACGGATTCCGACAGCCACTCCCATCTCCCGGTTGGGCAACGAGAGAGATCCATCAAAATTTACTTTCACAAAAGAAGCACAAGGGGCCCAAATTGTAACACTTGTTGGTCAACGAGAAGGTCCCAAACCGGGAGTGGGCGTAGAGGCAAGAAACTCCCAAGCAGCAACGTTGGCCTTCCTTGCCGTAGTGAATGGAGACGGGGATTTGTGTTAAAAAACACATTGACATCTGGTTTTCGAGATCCCCCAGCAAACGAAGAAGACCACCGTAAGGGGATGGGATTGAGCCATACCATCCTCGGCTGCCACTTTTGAGAGATTCAACACCCACCGATCGAAAGTGGAAAAAGAATGGATATCAATCCGATAATTTAGCATAAACAAGTTGACAGTTTTTCTCAATAGGAGGATGCCAAACTAACTATTCTACAAACTAAAAGAGAAAAACAGGAAGAAAATGAAACCATCTTACACGATGCTGGCAATGCACGTCATCCATAACATCAACTGACACGATAACCACCGTACTGTGTGCACAATTCATTGCCATCAAGTTGAACAAATACATTTCAGGTCGATGGGAAACCATGCTAGTGCAGTGTTCAGCCAAACGCTTCAACGAGGAAAGCCTTATAGATGCTCATGAACTTCGCCATGAATGCTGGCAAAATAAGATTGAGAGGAACTCCATTAGAGGCAATGCCAGTTCAATAGGCAACTTCATTTTGTCTAATGTGTCATTCAAGAGTACAAGCCCCCACAAACATAGAGAAATGTATGTGCACGCGTGTGAGAAAGGGAGAGAGAGATCATCGGATGCTAGAATCTATCAAAACTACCTTGAATCTGACAGTTGTAACAGAAAACGGAATCTGATATTATATAACATGTAACCAATGCCGTTATAACTGCTTGAAGGGCACATGCTAAAGGGGAAGCTGTAATTACTAACCTAAATGAATCCTGATCGCCACAAAAGTTACTCTACGGGGAAAATATGGTAAAGTAGTTTCACTTGCAGATTGCCTCTATCTAAATTGGTAAGCAAACAAATATCTAGCAACAGTTTGGGTATATGTACTGAAAACTAAAAGCCTGTTCGTAGAGAGAAAAATGGAGATGGTGAGAAGAGGGAGAAAGGACATGAAACATATGAAGAAGAAAGGATGAATAATACATAAACTGCTTGTATTAATTGTAAATGGTTTTCAGTTCTAGGTTTAATATCATTTCGTCATTCCAATCCTTTTTCTTTTCAAAACAAAAAATAAAAAAACACGAATACAAAAACAATATCGCACACATTATAAAAAGCCGGCATCCAACATTACTCAGTACTGCCAAATCTAATATATCTACCATGCACACATAAAATAGATGAAACCTTAAATGCAATGAGGTGTTGTTTTCACTATGTGAAGGTATTCTAATACTTTTCATTTTTTTTCCAGTCAAGTATATTTTGAAAACACTTTAACCCATATATCCAGAGCATCCAACATAACAATGTGTATGGTTTCATCGTTTTTACTTATCATAATCTCATGCTGCATCCAGTGAGATAGAAGTACCTTCAAGGTGAAATATAGCTTTCTGCCCAAGACGCATCCTGTGTTCCTGTAAACAAAAAAGAAATGCAATGTAAAGATAATTCTACAGGATTACAAAGGTGTAGCCCCAGAGGACAATAAGATGTAAAGATATTCCCCGAAAAGCTTATGCGTCAACACATTAAGGCTTAAGCTATGCCTTGCGGAATATAAAATATTATGATACAAATAATACATTGTGTTGATAAAAATAAACCTGATAATTCCTTTTTATTGGTCTCACTAAGGCCTTCCACAGTAGGCCAGCAAAAGTCAGTATGATACCAATATATTTGGGCCGGAAACTGAGTGTGATACCAATATATTGAACTCATGAGTGTAGTATTAATATATTGAACTCTCTCACACTAGTGTAGCAGTAGTGTTACACTAGACGGTATTAAACTTAGGTTGCCTGATTCTTGTATATAGGTATCCCACTCATTCAAACTACCGTGGAAGGCCTAAGCCCAAATGCCCAAATCCATGATAATGTATTCAACAATACAGCCGAATTATTATTGCAATTGCATATACTTTGATCAAATAGCGTATGCTATTTGGGAACTCCACGAATCAACTACGCGTTGTAGAAAATTTTGAACACCTCGCAACAAACCAGGAAATTTTGCGCGCTACGAAAACACTGAGATATATATATATATATATGTATGTATATATATATATGTATGTATATATATATATATATATGTATGTATATATATATATGTATGTATATATATATATATGTATGTATGTATAACCAACCACAACCTAGCTCCCAATACCATACAATAACATCAAATGACGACCAGAAGAATCCACCAATTATACTACCCTGTAATAGAATCAACCATAGATCATGGATACCCTAACTGCATTGTCTTCTCGGGATTTTATCATTTACCATAATATGTAAAGCAGGTGGGAAAGATTTTAAAAAATGAAGGAAAATGACTATTAGGACATTATTATATGAAATACCAAATGTGCAAAACTTTATTAACTTGTAGACCAATGTGATGGCACCAGCATGCTAAGCATAACTTTTGTGGTCGTGGTATGCTAATGTTTATTTGCAGCACAACAGATGCAAGCTCATAATAAGCAGAGATGGTCAATATATAAACAACTTGATCTAACCACATTGTGCAAAAGGAACTCAAATTGGAACCAAGGGTACGGAAAATGATTATACTTACGTAATACACAGCCCAATGGCAGACCTCATGCTTCAGTTCTGCATCCAATTTCTTCAATAACTCATAAAGCAGCCTCTGAGATAACAGAAGATATAACTTTCAAATCAAATTGAGGAAAAACTGTAGAAACGAAAAGAAAGACACACTTAATGATTATTCTGTAGGATTAAATGAGCTCATAAAATTTTTACCACTTAATAATCCCTAAAACAAATAAGGTAGGGCAACAAATTATAGAAAACAATAATAAAGGAAAATAATTGTACCTTCAAGATGATCTCTAGAGGAATACAATTTAGAAGTAGCTCATACAGCTTCTGCCGCACCTGATAAAGCCTTAAGCAAACAGAATAATTTTTTATCAGAAAAACTTTAGGAAATAGTAGAAGATCCGAATGAGAAGCCAGGAATCACCATTCATGCTTCAAAAATCGTGCATATAGCTACAAAAATATAAGGAAAAACTTCAGACTTCAGACATCCCATTATGAATTAAATACAGAATCTTCTAACAAAATAACAAAAATTAAATTTTCAAATCCTTTCATGTTAGATAATTGCATTACACTAAACAAGGGCCAGCTGGTCTCCATTTTCATGCAATTACAAAATCTCCCTTGGTGGGAATAAAAAGCCTTTTTTAATAATCATGACCTTAGATTCAAAATATACAACTCTTTCACATAATCTAGATGACAGACCGAAAAATTCGACAAAATATCATGGGAGGTTAGACACAGAACTGGATGGCTGAATTATGTTTTACAAGATTAATCCCAAAGACAACGAACTTCAGGATGCATAAAAATTATGTCACATCTGGCTATGTGGACTCCATTCTGCTTCAATACCAGAAAGAGAAACCACAAAGGCCAATGAGACTGACAATCATCTAATAGCAGATTAACCATCAATGAAATGTTGCAAAGGAGGAGAAGATGGATTATGATTTATGCATACACGCATCAAGATATCACAAATGGTAAGGCATGTGATAAGAAGACGTTATTTTGTTTATCAAAAGTGTATTCCAAGAATAGTGCATCCAAGGTTGTACAGTAAGATACAAGAAAAAGTTTAAAGGCAAAGTATAGCATTCGCAAGCAACAAAGAATAATAAAGTAACTCTGACAAGAACTCACTGAATTTACACCATGATCTTCATTCATAAACCAAAGCCCAACTACTAGAAGATGCCAAAAATGCTTGTCATAAAAATCTCACTACAAGGAAAGTAAATAAGTGACATGTGTACCGTAAATCTGTGGGCATCCACAGTGGGAGATCCAAGAATTAGAATGAGGAACATGAAAGGTGGCATGCTCTTAAAATGGCGTAGCAAAGAGGGTTCTAAGGTCCAATACCTAATTTGGAAAATGCTACATGATGATGGACCTCCTACGGATCTTGCATAAGAAGCTATTATTTGAGCTGCCAATGATTTTATTTATTTTTCATTAGAGCAAGAAACCTAGAGCGTTTGAACCAATCCACAGTGGCTTTCTTTTTCCTTTCTTCCTTTAGATAACTAATAAACAAAAAAAATACGAAAAAAGTGTGAAATTGGCTATTTGAAGCAACCCAATTAATGAAACATCTGCATAAGTTCAATTGGATATGTTGTTGTGAAAGAAATATGATGAATGAAAATAAAATTAATGGGGGCAGCCTCTACTAGACAAATAGGCCAGCCAATGGCTTTCCACATTTTACAGTGTTTTCTTGAGTTCAATTTGACCATTGAACTAGAACAATTTCAAACTACAGTCAAAATGCTGCAATAGATGTCAATATTGTAAGAGCCAAACCTTTTTGGGCTCTGCTCCTTCATTATATCAGAGGCGATTTCAGAAACATATTCCTCCCAGTCCAATGGGGGTATTGCTTGGTTACTTGTTAAGGGATACCTACAACCACATGAAAAGTACACAGAAGACCATAGCCATCAGAACCTGTGCTATTCCTGCAAGGTGAATAGAAAGAAAATAACTGCTTCACACAACTGATGACCAATTAGAACTCTGGCACTTAACTGTTGAACACGACAAGTTCCTAATGACAATATAGCTCTACTTAAGCTCCTATTTGATTTTTCAGCTATACGAGCAGCGAATCCAGAAGGAAGTTGCATCGCTTCCTTCTTTCCAATGAACTCCAATACCTTAACAATCTGGCACAAAAGGTTCCACATGAAATCATCAAGTGATACGTCATTGACAGTGGAAGTCAACATACTTAATGATATCAAATTCTACAAGTTGTATGCCAGTAAATTTAACCTGGTCTTCTGCTGGCGCATTTATTCGCTCATTTAGACACCGAGACCGGATTGCTTCAGTAACCTTTGAAGAACTGTTACAGCATAGTATTAGCCGGCAATAAGCACTATATTTCTCCTTAGTTCTTCGAAGAGAATGCTGCGCTTCTCTTGAAAGCTTGTCAACTTCATTCAGCACTAAGACTGGCATTGCAAAGAGGACATGTTATCAGTAGATTCAAGACACAAATCGTAAAGACAGAAACACCCAATTTGTTGATCATCGAACTGCATTTTCTTCGTTTTCTTAGTTTTTTAGAATGGGGACGAGAGAGAAAGATTCAATGCCTATTGCAAAGAACTCTGAAAAGGATGAGAAAACAAAATAAAAAAAAAATAAAGATGAAAAGCGAATTATTCTAAAGAAATATTGCATACTGTTCAAGTGAATGTACAAAAGAAATACTTCCAAACGTATACATTGGATAAGTGTATATTCATAAAAAATAGGATATTAGTTAAACTTACTTTTGTATCCTTTTTTCCCTTTTGTGTCAATGGGCCTATTTTTAGCCATTTCTTTAATTATCTCTTGGACAATATATCTGTCCTGAAAGCCTGCATCACTGGGGTTCAGTTCAATATGGTTTGTGCTTGACATTGTAGTCAGTTCAATATGGTTTGTGCTTGACATTGTATAATAAATCATAGGAAATAAAAATTCTAGTTAAAATGGAATACAAGAAAAATCAAATGAAGCAAGTGAAGGATTTAATCAAATACCAGTTATAAGGAGATAAAAAACAATAGAAAAATAGTTTTAGGTTGAACAAGGAGATGTTCAAAGGAAAATAATCTTTCATAAATCTGGAAATAAGGTGAGCGTTATAAATTGGTTAATGTACTATGCTCAACAAAGGTTGGAGATGTCAGTGTCCTTCTGCCATATCATGTAAGAGATCTAAAATATGTCCTAAAGCTCCAATCTTTGGAGGTTTTTCTCTAAAAATAAAAGTAAGCACCTAATTTCGTTTCAAGAAGCTAACAAATAGAGGTAAGAGACACCAGTCCATGCCTTCTGAACAAGGAAATGAGAAACGAATCATAAAGAGGAGAAAGTCGAATTTGAATTCATAATTAATTAATCATTCAGATATGCAACCGGAATTTAACACAGCTTTTCACCTAAATGACAGATAAGTAATAATTTTTACAGAAGTTTCAACAATGATCATTCCCATCAATCAAAAGAAGGTGAAGCTTACATCAACTCTCCATGTCCTATTTTCCACCTTCACCTGCCAACCACAATCACAAAATTTCTCAAACGCCAATAAACAAAATTTCAAATAGAAGAAAACATCATTCTTTTTCCATAAAATGCCCGTTTAATTATGGTGATAGATTTATGTATATGATACAACTTTAAGTGGGGTACTTTATCAACTATTGACTCCTTACATGTAAGAAGCTATTCCACTCCTTACAAGCAAACCGTAGTGTTGGATTATACAGACGAACTGCTCATTACTGGAACCGCAAAGATAAAAAAGATGCAAACTTTTCGGATTTTGATTGACTTGTAAGGAGGAATCCATCCTTGCATGTTTAAGAGCTAAGCATTTTTTTTTCATCTAATTCGTTTCGTTATAGCTCTGTAATCCATTTTATACCAAAACAAACAATATAAAGGTGGAAAGAAGACCCAAAAGAAAAAGATCAATAATTTGAATCCCAAATGGTCAAAACAAATAAACGGGAAAATGTATGAGAAAATTGGGACCTTATCGGCGCTGGGACCGAAAACCTGACGGAGGAGGGCGATGATGAGGGTTTTCTTGCCGGAGCCGGAAGGGCCATAAAAAAGCAAATGGAAGCAATCCTGCTCTGCAACCTGCACAAGAAGAAGTTAGGGTTATGAAATTGTAGAAATTGGGAATTGAAATCGACAAGGGAGGGGTAGAATTGCACGAGTTTCTTGAGGTTTTGGGCGATGTCTTGGTGGACAGTTGCCTGGTCTAGGGTTTTGGGTCGGTACTTGTCTACCCACAGCATCTTCTTCTTCAGTCTTCACCGCCGTCACTTGGAGAAATCAGGCAAGGAAAAAGTAAGAAAATCACCGGAGGACAAAAGTGGCGCGAAATTCCACTCTGTGTGTGGGGGCCTAATCTGGGACATCTATTTTATTATAACCGTTGGATTCATCCGACGGCAAATATAGCGTAGATTAGTCATTTTATTGTGGTACTCAACTAATTTGGAGAATTTAATTGGAGTAATAGCTTTTTAACTAAAATTCCAGGATCATTTGATCTTTTAATTATTTAAAACGTGTAGCTATGCTCATTTTCATCAATTCCGTTATAATTTTGATCAAAATGAATCACATGTCACACACGTAAAGCTGAATAAAGACGCAAATATGGAAAACGATATGAGAAAATTTGTAGCAATAATTCCTCAACTTTAATCAAATTTGAGGAATAGTCCCTCAACTTTAGCCCAATTAGAGCAATGATCTATCAACTTTAACCCAATTGTAGCATTGATAATTCCAATCCAACACGATTCATTTTAACGGAATTTTGATCGAGTTAACAAAAATGACTATAACTATGTGTTTTGATAAATTAAGAGACCAATTACCATGAATTTTTAGTTGAAGGATCACCGCTCTAATTGCATTAAAGTTAAGGAATCATTTCTACAATTTTTTTAAGGACAATACTTAGCTACTCAAAGACAAAGAAACTCTTACTCAAAATTCATAATATTTTAATCACATAACTTTGTGCTTATGATCAGAATCGTTCATACTATGAATCATACTGTAAAGATCATCTCTGTAAAAAATAAATTAAAACTAAGGTCATTTAGTCAATTTATTGTAGCAAATATATAAACGGTTTGCAATGCTTTTACCAATACCGTTTATTTGTTTTTAAATAGTTTGATAACTAAAAGACCTTAGTTTTAATTGATTTTTTTTTTTTGCAGAGGTGATCTTTAAAAAGTGATTTATAATATGAACGATTCTGATTCTAAACATTGATAACGAACAATTTTGAGAAATTTTGAGTAGGAGTTCCTACTTATCTTTAAGTAGCCAAATTTTGAGTAGGAGTTCCTACTTGTTTTCTATATTTTCATTATGTTCCAATACTTCATAATATATATATCATTCTATTGTATAGTTTATGATGAAATTATATATATTTTAAGTATAAACAGACACTTATTTACATGAAATATAATATATTTACTTAAATATGCCTCGTTGGCCTAGGGCCTAGGCCCCAGCTCGCTACTCAACTAGCGCTTAACGTCTTTTAAAATCTTGACTTTAGCCAAATTGGAACAATGATCCCTCAACTTTAATCCAATTGTAGCAATGGTCTTTCCAATCCAACATGACTTATTTTGACAGAATTCTAACTGAGTTAACGAAAAGGACTATAACTCTGCATTTTGATGAATTAAGAGAACAATGACCATGAATTTTTAGTTGAAGGATCACCGCTCTGACTGCATTAAAGTTAAAGAATTATTTCTACAATTTTTAAAAAAACAATACTTTGCTACTTAAAGATGAAGAAACTCCTACTCAAAATTCATAATATTTTAATTACAGAACTTTGTGCTTATGATCAAAACCGTTCATACTATGAATCACACTGTAAAGATTATCTCTGCAAAAAATAAATTAAAACTAAGGTCGTTTAATCCATCTATTTTAGTAAATACATAAACGGTTCGTAATGCTTTTACTAATATTTATCATTTATTTTTAAATAGTTTGATAACTAAACGACCTTAATTTTAATTGATTTTTTGCAGATGCGATCTTTATATGGTAATTTATAATATGAACGGTTATGATTATAAACACGAAATTCTGTAAATTGACAATAAATAATTTTGAGAAATTTTGAGTAAGAGTCCCTACTCATTTTTGAGTAGTCAAATATTATTCTTTTTGAAAGGATAAACAGTGGCTTAATTGTAATTTCCCAGGACAAAACCAAACATTGACCGAAGTTCAATAGAGCGAAATTTTCCAGCTTGAGGCGCGGGAGAAAGAGAATAAGACAGAGAGTGGGTCAGGTGAACCTTTTTTTCAAACAAAAGGTGCATCCAGAGAGGGAGAGTCAGAGAGAGAGAGAGAGAGAGAGAGAGAGAGAGAGTCAGAGAGGGCGGGAGGAGCTCGATCTGAAGCGGAAGAAAATCTTTGCTGGTGAAAACTAAATCACTTGCTATGCTCTGTTTGTGGTGCCAAAAACATATCTAGAGTTGCAGGCCTCTGATTTACAGTGGTTGCTCTGAAACGGTTGTTTACAGAATCACCAGGAAGTTAAAGTGACGGAGCTGAAAAGGAGCTACAGAGGGGCTAATCTTCTGTAAGGGATTCAAATTTTGTTAGTTTATGTTCAAATTAGGGCTTAATTTTGCTAATTAGAGTTGCATTTGGGTTAATTAGCATTACAAAAGCACAAATAGGGTTAAAATTTTAGAGCTTTCTTCTTCCGAAGTTTTTCGATTTCAGCATGTAGGAAGTGGCGCAATTAGTGCGGATGTTTCGTTAATTTTATCGATTTTTCGTCCTTGTTTCGAGTTTGATGTCTTCATTTTAGTTTTTGTACTCATTTTTGGTAGGACTACTCAACAATCTGGAATTGATTGAAACCCTAATGATGTGCCCTTAAACGAGATCCTTGTTCTTACATTTTTCTGATGTAGATTGATGGCGAACAACGGGAATGAGGATTTTTATTACAACCTCTCAAGGAAAGAGCTTCAAACATTGTGCAAAAGATATGGCTTGCCTGCAAATAAATCGCATTCGGATTTGGCAATGTCTCTGATTGCTTACTTACAGGTACATTTTTCAGGCTAATGATATCCTACTATCATTCGATTTAATATTACGTTATGGACTATAACATTTTCATGATATCCTCCAATTTCTCATGGGAATGCTCCCATTTCTCGATAATTAATGAGGTGGGAGCTTGAGCTGGCCAATCATTTGCTTCAAATGGGAATTTACAAACTGTTAAATGAAGTTTACAGGGTTAACTGAAAGCGAAAAATAATGCAACGTTTGGATTCTCGTCATGGTTATATATATATATATTTTTTTTTTTTTAAGAGACATAAATCGGAACACTTTCCAACTGTACCCATGTTTTTATGCTTATTGTTGGATCTGTTAGTCCCTCCTTGTATAGTCCATGTTTCAGCTAATTGTGAGTGCTGCATGAATGGAGTGCTCCGGTATTTTCACATCACACTTACAAAAGATGACATTCAAAGATTTTAGCCTATTCAAATTTCATATAAGCATACGAAAGATGACGGAAAACTTGGACTCTTAAGCCACCTCCAGTCATGGAGGGCTAAACGTAGCCCTTGGCCTTGTTTCTGCCCTCCAAAAATTAATATTTTAAAGACTACTTACTTTAGGGCTAAATTTTTCCATCTCCAACCATGCAGGGCTATATTTTATACCCTTCATATTTTATTACTTTATGGGGCCAAACTTAGCCTGCCCGGGGGTTCCATGTTGCCTGCCCTGGGGCCAGACTTAGCCTGATTCCCTTTAGCCCTATTGTTGGAGACTGATTTTGTCAATTTTAGGGCTAAATGTGCAAAAGCCCTCACTGCTCTCACCCATATCTAAACCAATTCTTCTATTTAGAAGAGTGCGATCAATGTTAGCAAAACAACCAACAATTTCTGCTTTGAAAAATCGATCGTGGCCTATAGCCCTTGGCTGGAGATGGCCTTAGGGCTTGGACTTTATTATATGATAAATGTCTTGAATTTCAAAGGATTAAATGATTTCTCAGGAAATTCTTCTTATGTGTTACAGGAAGGTTTTGGTGGTCCAATGTATAATCTTTGGGGGAATTTTTATGCTCAATGCAACGGGAATGGTCTTAGCCATAATGAGTACCCAAGAAAATACGCAGTTGACGATTCTTTGGGTTTGGCAAGAGATAGAACCATGGAAAATGTGCCTGAAACTGAAAGTAGGGAGATAAATTTCAGCGCATACCCTGCTCAAACTGCTGTTGATTGTTCCGTGGAAACTCCTACACAAGTTCCTTCCTCTTCTTTTGAGTTTCATGTTAGGTCAGAAGAGGGGATTAATCTTTATGTTGACTTCAATTCGAGCCTATCTGAGTGGACTAAGAGGTTCAAAAGTGAGGTTTGCACATGTCAAAATGTGCATAGAAACAAGTCTATGAGTCTTTATGAGGACCTTGGGTGCATTGGAAAAGGTGATAAAGAAAAGAGAAGTTCCTTCATACAGAACATAAATTATGGGTACATTGAAGATAAAGAACCGACAAAAAGTGACAATGTGGGCCTTGATTATTCTGTTAAACTAGCTGAAACTTCAGTAACCTCAGCAGTAAGATCGTGCAACATGGCTGCAGACGTGTCAGAGCATTTAGTGGAAGATCAAGCACTTGTCTCATCTAAACTTGACTCGGTTCCACAGAAGCAGATAATTTCTGGTGCTCATTCCTTTGCTAAAGATGGCTCTTTAATCAAGCTTGATTCAAATGTCCCTAATAATTTCCAGAAGTCCATCCGTGCTCCTGCTGTCAACTCGTTATCAAAAGTTCAATTAAGTCCTGTCATAATGGAGCATCAAAATTCAAACCTCAATAATTGTCTGAATCCAATCCTGCAGAATGATTATAGCCCTGTCAACCTTAGTGTGGTATATCCTCGATACTCAGCTGTTGCTTCTATAGAGATGCAGTCATCAGAGGTTGTGAGTTGCTCCAAAGACATATCATGTTCACCTTGTGGAAATGGAGGATTGGTGGGTCTGTTTGTACAAAAGGACAATTTAGAAACAGAACTTGGAATAGTCAGCTCATGTGAGCAGGTTCCTGATCTGCTGGGGAACTATGTGCCAAAATCTGCTGAAGCGTGGGTATGGTCCTGTTTCCACTATCTGTCACATGATTGCGGGTGTACTGAAAAAATAATGCATTGTCATATTTATTGATACCTTAGACTTCTACATTTTGTTTTATCATTGATGTTGTAGTAAAATGTTTGTGATTCTTTTTAGATGTTTATGTACTTTACTGTTGTTTTCGTTTTATTTGTTCTTTGTTTTCAAAATTCTCACATCATGGTGAAGTTCAAGATAAGCTACAGTAGATTATAAAGTTGTATGTATATACTGGACCCCTATACTTCAAATTGAATATTGTGTTGAGGGTAAAAAAGAAAAGATAGTATCCTTATGCTTTAACTTAACTGATAAAAGAGTATGTTGTGGTTGGAGATTCTTTGTGTTTGGATGGCACATAAAGTTATTACCTCTTCAAGATTTCTATTTAAACAACAGATTTTATTTATTTCATGCCCTCTGCTGTTTTACTGCAATTTTTTTCCTACTGTGAGGAACAAATTGAATGTTTATTCAAGATTTGTTATTTGTATTTTGTATCTGATGATGGCAATGGACTGCATGTATGGTTTTGTTCTGCCATATATTGATGTCTTTTTCTTTATGACTAATTGAATATCATGAAATGCCAGCATTTTCCATATTTTGCTGGTTTTTAATATTAATTTGCAATCCTCTGTGTTATTAGTTTTTTCTTTTCAACTGTAGAGAAATTTACTTAAATTACAACAATTTGGTTGTTGATTGTCAATCTAACTCTCTGTTCAGTTTTATTTGACGTGAACAGTTAATAAAATTTCTAAGAATCCAAAGTTTGTTTTATCTCTTGCATATCCTCTTTTTGTTCTATATAAATATATTGCTTCTGCATAATGCACACGTGGAAAACAAAATCATTTGGTAACCATGGTTTTGATGATTAAAATAATTTCTTCCAAAGATTAAACATCAAAGTCTTATTTCTGCTCCTTGTATTCTAGTGTAGGTGTTTGCTTGCATGAACATGGATGAATGTATACGGGTTTGTTTTGTGCTTATAAATTTCAGTCACGTTATAGATTTGGAATAACATACTACCGTTTTCAGGAGAGGAACAACATCACAAATGGGAGGGATAGTCCAGAGTAAGCTCTCTTTAAACCAAAAGTTCTTGTTGATTATAATATGCAATTGTCTTATCTTCTATACCTTGTCCCACCTTGCAGATGCTCACAGTTAACCAGTTCAGTTGAGAAGAACAGTTTCTGTTACGATAATTTGGAATCTAATGAAGAACTTTCCAGAAAGAGGAAACATATAGAAGGTGAACTTCAAAGTGGCTATGGTAATCCGGATGCAAAGAATTTAACAAGTAGGAAGCATATTACTAGGAAAGTCCTTCCTAGAAGATCCGTGCGGCTGATCTCTAAGGTTTTCTGAAGTATCTTTTAACCATGTGATTGATAGTGGTGTTCTGATACCATGATAGGTTTTTGAATTCATTTTTTTGGTGTGAGTACGGATATAAAATCATTTATATTAGGTGATATAGCCGTTGTCATAACAGAAAGTTTAGAACCATTAAAAATGCCTTTGAATTTGTATCTTTTAGCCTCCTAGGAGCATTTTTCTTCACTATACACTTTTACTTTTATTTGAAAGATGATGCACCTTTCTTTTTGCTTGTCTTTTAACATTTGGGAAGGCCTCTTCTTTGTGTATTTTTTTCTGATAACGTTCTTATTATCAAAGAAAATCTTATTCTAATCACATAATGAATGAGTTCATCCACTTGCATTCGGAATGCTTCTTACTATCCAAACAAAGTTAGGTTTTGATGTATTACACATGAAATGATGCACAAACTCCTGACTTGTGCATTAACTTTCTAATTTTTGCCCATTTGCGCACATGTAGTTGTTAATGGCCTTTTGCAAATGCAATCACCATGCAGAGAAAAAAGAGAGAACTTTGACTTCCTAGCTTTATCATGCTTTGCCATACGAGGTCAATTTTGATTCTTAAATTAGCCTAGCAAAAGGAACGGTTTCATGCCATTTAATGCCCCATGCCTTAAGAAATCTGGGACATTCTTATTGTGCAACTGATTTAGGGCTTCACATTTTGCACGATATTCTTGGCTCAAATGTGGCTTAAAAACCTGGGCAGGCTGGCTATGTATCCAATCTAGGGCTTCACAATTTGTTGTATGATCCTCCAGTTAACGTCCTATGCCTTAAGAAAACTTAGTACAAGGCTTAGTATTTGGGTCTATCAATTTTAACCCTTGAATTTAGTGATATAACTTTTGCTTGTTAATTCTCTTAAACTAGCATTCTGCATTATATTGAAATTTTTTTCTCACCTTTTTATTGTCCTTTTCATTCTTCTCCTTCCCCCTTTTTTTTCGGATTCAATTTTTCGCCTTCCGTTTTGAAGAGTCTTCAATGTGTGTCAATTTTACTGGGAAATCGGTTTGATTCATATCCAAGATGGAATGTGATGAACTGGAAAATTCTGGATATCTCTGTTATTGACACAAATTCAAGCCAGAAGTTTACCAATTCATTTGCACACTAATAAATTCATCCACATGGGATGTTAGACTTGTTGAGCACTCTCTCTCTTCTACACCCCATTGTTTGGATAATCTGTATCTTGAGTAATCCACATCGTATGTGTGGTATAATCATCATTGTACATTTGTTAACTGTCTGCCTTTCTTATCCAGTGAGCTCGTGAAGTGCATATGGCCCAAGGGTTGAAGCATCGATAGCGTATACCATTGTTCCAAATGAGAATGAATATGGTAAGATTGGAGCATTACATGATCTCTGTTTAGAAAAACATAAGGTGTTGCTAGATCTCGTAATGCAGTGAGCCTCTCTTTTGTTTTATTCTTAGCATGGTTCACACACACACAACATGCATACAGATGTACATACATAATGCATAAATAAAGTTCCTAGTTTACAGGGTACCGATTTGACTCCCCATCAAAAGGGATACACGTTTATAAGGTCTACACACACACGTACATTCATGGAAGTTTTATGTGTGCTATATGGAATGCTTTTAACTTCCTCATTGCATTTGAGTTGGTCAATTAACATGGCAATTAGGTGATTCTCAACTCAACCTGCCACAATCCAAGAAGTTCGGTGGCTAGTTATGGGGTGCCATTATAAGAATTATAGAGAAGTATCATTCTTCACTTTTCTTTTCATGCATGCATACGATGCAGAGACTTCACCTCTTAAATGGATGGTCTAGAACGTGGCGGAATAAATTCAATATCCATGACATCAAATTTGTACTCCCGCCTATCCGTTCAGTGTCTAATACAAACTCATTATTTTATTCTACTGCATGAACCTCGAGAGAATGGCTTGTAACTTTGATTTGATGATGAGATACTTGCCAAAATCGATATGTTAGAAAAATTGAAAGGTATGTTTATATTATTGGTAACGTCGGTATGCTGCAGGTGGTTGTATTTTCGGGAGCATTGGCAACATATTAAAGCTAAGAGATAGTTCTTCAAGGTGTTGGTTACGGCGATCACCAAGCATATAACAAAGTCTGTACATATCAACAGTTCAACACGGGGTAATTTATATTATTTTGTTTCTGTATCATTTATGGGTACTCATTTTTGTTAAAAGTTGTTACATGTGTATATTTATTGGGGTTAATTTCCGTTTATTCTGTTGTCTTTATCCATGTTTTCATGATCATTTATATGCATATTGCACATGAATATTGTGGACCAAACATGTGGTCATTGTCTTAGTCTTGCTTAGCCTTCTTTGTTTGAGACGAGTCGATGAATATGTAAGAACTGAGAATTAAAACGCAATTAAATTTCAGTTGGTTTTTATTTTCTAATTTAGAACTTGGGGATAAATTATATTATTTGTTACATTGTGTTGTGCAACAAAACTAAGCGTTATGACGTTCTATGATTCATATAGCCGACTCTACTTAGTGGAATAAGACTTTGTTGTTGTTATTACATTGTGATATGTGCAAGTTATGTGACTGCATTTTGTGTCAAGTTGCCACATAAAACCCTTTTTTTGTTGCCAAATTGCCTCAAACTCGTATCCGAGCTTTGGGGAGAATTTGGGAGTTTTGTATTTATACATCTTTTCTCTGCAAGAAAATGTTCTTCATTTAAGGGAACAAAACTTGTAGTTAGTCCTATAAAACAACTAGGTATTTAATCTTGTGTGTGATTAAATCCCTAGAGGATGATATTCACATCTATACCCTTTGATTTTATTATCATAAAATGAAAGTGAAATTTGGAGCGTTGATCATGTGCTTTGGTTCAATTGGAGCTTTCGTCCCTAAGTTTTTCAAATTGCTCCATATTATAATGAGCTCAGAGACCGATATTTAGGAATTTTTTATTCAATGACCAAAGATCGAATTGTACAAAACTTCAATGTCTAATACTCCAAATTCCTCTTCATTGATTTAAGGCTTCACGGTTTGCTGTGCGATCCTCCAATAAATGCTCTATGCCTTGGGAAGACTTAAGACACGGTTTAGTGTTTGGGTCTATCAATGTTAACCCTTGAAGTTTGGGGACATTACTTTTGCTTGTTAATTCCCTTAAACTAGCATTCGGCATTATATTGAAAAAATTTCTCACCATTTTAGGGCTGCTTTAGGGTTGTGGTGTCTTTTTTTTTCCTTTCTTTAAAAAAAAAAAAAAAGCTTATTAAAAAATCTGGTGAACCAAATGTGTTTGGTAAAACAAAACAAAAAAAGCTTGTATTTTTTTTTAAATTATTGTCAATAGCCACTAAGTACTACGGTCTAATGATATTTCTCTTCACTTGAAAGTGAAAGGTCTTATGTTCGAATTTTGTGGATGATGAATTCGATACCAAATTAGGCTGTCCATTGTGTGACTTAGTCGAACTCTCTCTCTCCTAAGTATAAAATATTGATGTACTAAAAAAAAAAAAATTATTGTCAATGATAGTAGAAAATCATAGAAAAGTAGAAGTAGGGTCTATTATGCTTCTAATTTTTTTTTTTTAAGCATAGTGAACAATGCCTATTTAATGAAATTTTCAAATGATAAGTATACCTTCTCATCTTTTACAAAATTATAATCTCTGCCTTTGCATTATTTTCTTTAGCAACTATTATATTGCATCAATACTATATCCTTTATCATCATTGAATATTTATATAAAAGTTTTCTAAATACTTAGACATGTTGTAGGCCTATTTGATTGAACGATCTAGTAAGAGAGGGGTTCGGCGATATTGAGGGAGAAGAGAGATTGATTTAATTGTGAGGTGTGCTTGATTTAAATCATTGTGCTTTTATTTATAGTAAAAGAAATGGTAAAATCTTTCCCTTTAGGATTACAACATTGAATAGGTAATCTACGATATATAATACTTTCCCATATTCCCTAGGATTTACAAAATCACATTCCTATTCTAAATATGACTGCAACAAGACACTGTTTTTTGTTTTGTTAAAAGCACTTTTAAAAAAAAAATTACCTAACATTGAACAATTTTATTTTAGAACTATTTATTCTCACAACATAGTAGTTTTTTTTTTTTTTTTTTTAAACATAGCAACACCAAACAAACCTTTAATGTCCTTTCTCATTCTTCCCCTCCACGGTTATTTTTTTTTGGATTTGATTCTACGCCTTCCGCTTCGAATTAAGAGCTTTCAATGTGTGTCAATTTAACTAGGAAATCAGCTTTGATTCATATCCACGTTTTACTTTTGGTTTACTGCAATTGGGGCAAGCAATTATGCCTATGTACTATGATACGGGTTGCATTCTCACCAATTCTCTCCTCCTAACAACTAACAATTTAACTTGCTAACGATATCGTTTGTTAAAAAAAAAAAAAAAAAAAACGAATAAAAATTTGAAAAAGCCACAAATGCTTGGTTGAAAAAAAAATATTGGAGGAAAAGTGGATCCTTCTTATGCCAAATAAATTACTTCTGGAATGAAAAATCGAATCTAAATGTTTTACATTAACAATAGTCTGAAAATTATCATTTAAGTACATGATGGGATTGAAATCCTAGAGCACGAAATTAATGGAACAGAAAATCTCGTTCCTAAATGGGTAGCGAATCATGTTGAATTATAGGTCAAGCAACCCTTAATTAGCCCAAAAAATGAAAAATAAAAAAAATCGAAACACCATAAGAAGGTGTGTAGTTGGCTGTTCAAATGGCCATCAAACAATCAAAATATGGAGTTTTCTAAGACCCACTTGTTTGTTACTTGCCTTCTCTTTCTATCTTCTTCTTGTTTTGGCGATCAAGGATCCCCAAACAAACGGTCCACCAAACTTGCTGAGCAACATCGACTCTTGAAGTATTGGATCAAGAGGCAGGTTCCTACCGGTCCAGATGCTAAACCTAGCAGCGTGTTGGATGATCCTGCAAATTATGAATCAAAGAGGCAGGTTCCTACCGGTCCAAACCCTCTACATCACTTCGTCCAACCGCATGCAGGTTCCTACCGGTCCAAATCCTCTACATCACTTCGTGCAACCACCCTACAAGTGTTGGATGATCCAGCAAATTATGAATCAAAGAGGCAGGTTCCTACCGGTCCAAACCCTCTACATCACTTCGTCCAACCGCCTGTAGAAGTGTTGGATGAACTTCCAAATTATGATCTTAATATGAGGCTTTTGCCTTCTGGGCATGAAGAGTCTCCTGAAGAGCCCCCTTCCAAGGTATATACTCCGCCACCACCATCTTCACGTGCAAATTATGATCTTATGAGGCTTGTGCCTTCTGGTCCAAATCATGAAGAGTCTCCAGAGGAACTGCCATCACCTTCTTCGGCCACGGAAGCCAATGTTCATCGGAAACCTCACTCAAGACGCTTATTGGATAATTAAGCCATGGATGCTAGCTATAGCTCCATTAGTTTTGGCACTTTCTTTATTTTGTTATAATCAATAACTACAGTCTATTTTTTGTTTTCTCAGTTGTTTGTTTTGGATATTAGTTTGGTTCAGTTATCTGATCAGTGATCAAATCTCTCTACTTTTTTCTTTCAGCTTATGAGATTATCTATATACATACTATATCGCATGCAAGGCATTTTATATGTGGCAATCACTGACAGTAGAAAAGTTCAGTAAATGTCCAATCCATTGGGACGATACCAGACAAAACCAGAAACATAGCTATATCGACGCGAGCAAACTCCATACAGATGATATATGTCACAGTTCAAAGAAACTTTTTCACCGATATGGGTTTAGGGTTTAGGGTTCAAGTACGTTTATAACGTTATGTTCAGCATTTGGGTTTCCCGAGATCACTGCCTCCCTTTTTAAGATTAGAATTTTTGTTTTTTTGTTTTTTTTTTTAAAACCTAGATTATATATTCAATTTAATCCCTTAAGGTCTACTTTTATTAAAGTTTATATTTTTTTTTTTTTTTGTCAAACATAGATTTTGTTAGAGTTAGATTAGCCACCGACGGGATTCGAACTCATGCTGTTATGCAAGGGCTCAACTCCTTTTCACCACTGTGGTAAAATGCCACTTGCATTCTATTTTTGTTATTTAATGTGCATTTTTATTTAATGTCTCCACATTAAAATCTTAATTTTATTAATATGCACATATTAGTTCTTTCAATTATAAATGAACCTAAGTGAGAAACTATTAAAAGAAATTAGTGACATATAAATATGTAAATACATAAGTGTATAGAAATGACTATACCAAAATGTTTGTACTTACATATATTATAACGAACTTAAATGTATATACCGAAATGTATTATATTAAATTAATGTACTTAAATGTCAATACCGAAATGTATGTACCAAAGTGTATTATATTGAACTAATGTATCGAAATGTATGTACCGAAATGTATTATATTAAATTAATGTACCTATATATTTGTATCAATGGATATACCGGATGATATCAAATTAATGATTTAATGTACCTAAATGTAGATTATACAAATTGTATATTCCTATATTATATAAATAAATAAAAATATTAGTTTACCTAAATATAGATATCAAAATATATTATGATGAATGAAATGAAAATAAAAATTAATTGTAATTAATACATTAAAAATATGAAAAAAGAAAGAAATAAAACATCAAAATATAATTAATAAATGAGATGATTAAATGTATCAGGGACTAAAATTAAATTTTAATCTTACACAAGGTTATAGTCTAAAACTCTTTTTCTTATTAAGAATTAAAATGAAATTTTCTATATAAAAAAAATAATATATATATTTACTTTGGACGCAAACAGTGGCGATTCCCGTACGTCTTTCCTGGTCTAGGGTTTACGTGACAAAGAAAACCAAATTTTTGTGGCATTGGTGATAGCGTTCATTTATGAGTTTAGTTTAGGGTTTATGGTGGGTGTAGAGAGGAAAGCTATGATCAGTTTTCAAGTAATACATTCACTTTAGTCTTTTTGCATAATTGAAATATTTTTAATTTTTTTTGGAGTTAATAGCAAGTGAACTTGCAAGTGGTGGATTGCTTTAATGAATAAAGATTTGTTCTTCAACTCGGGTTTAAACCCTCCTGTCTCTTAATATATACACACACACACACACGAAGCAAAATGTATTTACTGATGCAACACTTATATCGATTTTTTATGAGTTTTTAGCAATATTAATAAACTTGGCCTAAATTTTGTTTTGCGATATTTTACCATTCAAACCAAAATTTTGTGCTATCAAGTTATGTGACTACATATTGTGTCAAATTGCCTCATACCTCGTTTTCGAGCTTTGGGGAAAAAATTGAGAGATATCAATTCTTTATACTTTTCTTCTCTGTAGGAAAATGTTTTTCATTTAGGAACAAA